GGCCGACCCCCCCAAGTCCCTCCGCCAGGCGGTGGAAGGGGCAAAAGAAGCCAAGCGGCTGGCCAAGGCCTATCGCTGCCAGCTGCCATCCCCTGCGGCCTCCTAGCCATTGGGCCAGTTCCGCAGGGACAGACCACGGCCGACCCACCCTGAGTTCTTCAGGCAGAAGGCAAAACCATCCGGGAGCCCCAGACCTTTCCGAGAAGCCAGCGGGATGCTTCCCAGGTTGGTGGTGCCAGCCTTTGGGGGGGTGCAGGGGGCACGCCAACCGGGTGACCTCTGCAGATATGCTGGAATGTGACCCCAGGCTGGCCGGCGGTGATGGGAATTGTAACCCCCTGGCCCGGGTGGGAGGAAAGGGAGGGGAGGATCTGGGGTGCAGGAACGGCCCTGTGTTCTGCCATCTTGAAATTGTGCCTTAAAATGACATTATGGCCTTGCAACCTTTGGCAGCAAAACCAGGTGACTGTACCTCTCTCCTTACTGTACTCTCAGTATGTGCTTTCAATCCAGTGATTTCAGACACGGATTCCTGCCGAAAGGGATCCAGGACAGGCCCTCCAGAAGTTTGGGACTTCAACTCCCATTAGCCTCGGCTAGCTTAGCCAAAGACGGGTAGCTGTGGTCCAGCGTGGCTGCAGGGTGCCAAATTGCACAATGTAGCTGAATCCTCAGCCCTAACCGTGGGCTTCTTTGGGCCGGGGTGTGTGTGTGTGAAATGTCAGTGAAGAGGGTCTGGGACATTTGGGTTGAACGGGAAGAAAAGACCTTAGCGTACCTCTTTGTAGCCTGCTATCCTCCAGATGTGTTGGATTACAACTCTCACAATCCCTAGACAGCTCAGGAATTATCCAACACATCTGGAGGGCCCTGGGCTAGGTAGGTCTGTCCTACAGAATATTAGAATATCACATGTTGTGGTTATATGTGTAACCGTGCACTAATCGTAGTTCGGAAAAGCATTATCTGGGCACTGTACTGTTACTTTCTTAATCGTTAAATGGCGGGGAGGGTTGTAGTCCACTTCTCCTGTAAACCATTTTTGCACCAGCACCGTCTGTCTGTCTGTCTACCTGCCCACCCACCCACCCACCCA